TTAAGAAAGAAACCAAGACAATCTCTTAGCAACAATGAACCCATTGGTTTAGATGGAAATTTTTGCCGGGAGGATATTGATCTATAAAAAGAATGGTTATCTCTCCCATTAAAATTGACCGTTTCCGCAAAGTAGCATCTATATTTTGTCCATAGAATTGGCCTAGCCAGCAAACACTTCTTTGGGTAATTGTGAAGATTTCATGAATTTCTCGCGTATCTCATCAAAGACAGTCCTGAACTGATGAGCTGACACCATTATCTACAGTTCGGCTATTGAGTTTGCATAAACTGGCATTGGGGCTTGCTACCGACCCGAGTCCACTACGAAGACGATAATACAGTGGTACCTCGACATACGAGCGCCCCAACATACGAGTTTTTCGAGATACGAGCCGACGAGCAAGTGATTTTTTGCTTTGAGTTACGAGCGAGATACGAGTTCGGTTCGGTAGTGTTGAAGATATTAATCTGTGATTTTAAGTGGGAATTTTGTATGGGGAAATTTGCTTCGAGATACGAGTAATTCAAGATACGAGCAAGGTTGCGGAACGAATTAAACTCGTATGTCGAGGTACCACTGTAATAGATAGTGGTCTTAATTTTATCGTCTATTTTGACGAAAAAGTCAACACAATCTTATTATAGACCTAATTATTTCTAAAATTTTATATTTTTAAAATATTTAAATATGAAAAGACACTTTTCCCTGGAGGCCTGATTAATTTTACTCAATAGTTTTAGTTTCGAAATACGGGGGTCGGTGAAAGGCTGGTTAAACCGTTTGGTTTTCGACCACTACGACCCGGGTTCGATTCCTGCATTTTACACTTTTTTTCTGTTTAAAAAAAAAAAAAAAAAATTAAATGCTCCAATGGCCCCCCGATTCTTGCAAAAGTCCAACCCCACCAGCGAGTGCAAGTAACCAAACGGGGCTCTGGCACATTTGTAAGTGCAAAGTCGAACTGCTTTCACATGTGTAGACATGTGGTGCGCTTAAAGTAAAAAAAAAAAAAAGCAGTCGCTAACTACCCACCATGATTATCATGGCTTGTACCACGTGTACTAGGGATGAGCAAAAAAAAAGTTTCAAAATAGAAATATCAAGTGTTATTTTAAATAGTTAATGAGCATCAAAGAGCCAAGAAATTGTTAGTAAATTGTCAAAACATCGTCACAAATACTTTATAAATTTTCAGTGTACAAGCGTCACATTTAATAACAGCAATAATCTATCCGACTGCTGTGATAGGAAAGTTAATCAATAAAAGCTATTTATATTTTATTGACATATTTATACCTATATAAAAACGCACCATAATTGTTTTTTACTATCCCGAAGTACTTGTAGTTAAAGTGTCTATTAAGTTGACTTTTGGTGTGACAATATTGCCACGTGGAAAATTAGGAAAGACAAACTTCGGGATGAGATAACAATTTATTCCAGGCAAGAACAAACTATGAGTGATAAACAAAAGATAAGCAAAAGAGGGAAGTGTATAGCAAGATATAAACATAAAAAAAAAACAATAATCTGCTAAAATAATAAATACTTTGTTACATAGCTCCTTCCCTATGAGAGCTGTGACCCACAGTTAGCAATTATTGTAGTTACTGACATGGATCTGACGTGCTTCTACCAAGGATTCCATCGGAGTGTTGGAACTTTGTCCCTAGTACCTTTGCGTCCTTTTTCTTGCGGCGTGAAGAGCGGTTTTGTCGTCGTATCGTCTATAGGGACATCGTAATCTTGGAGGGAAGTCTTGGCTTTGACACGTCGGTGGAATCCTGGAGCCAGTCTCCGAAAATGTAGATCACAGCACCCATGACCTCTAGGTCTTCTCGGCGATCTTCAGTTTGTCTTCCCTAATTTACCCAGCATCTCCACCAAAATGCCACATGGAAAATTAGGGAAGACAAAAACTTGAGGAGGAGACAACAATTTATTTCAAGCAAGGACAAACTATGAGTGATAAACAAAAGATAAGCAAAAGAGGGAAGTGTACAGAGTATAGCAAAATATAAACATAAAAAAAACAATAATCTGATAAAATAATAAATACTTTGTTACAATATAGATAAATATTCTACAATTCTTGTATATTAGCACAAACCTTCAGTTTATATATTTCTGTATGAAGACTGTGATAAAAAGAGAGTTACATAGCCAGATAGTTGAAGCTGATGACAAGAGGTGATTCACCATTGTGCAAAAATATCTCAAGGACTTTCCAAAAAAGGTCTTCAAAGATGTTATTTATTAACTTATGAATAGACGGAAACTGTGGGTTTGGTTTTTGAATAAGAATAGATAAATGGATTTGATATATCTGCCCTTTTTTACATCTTATCTATTGTTCTATCTTTGTATATATATATATACATTTTAAACCAGAAAGGACACTTCTGTTATTTCAAAAATAGACGTGATAGAAGCTATAGGTTATATTTTGGTAGTCTCTATAATCGAGTAGATTGGAGTCGGTGACAAAACCACAATATCAGCTTTGGTTAATTCGAAACTCCAACCTGGAGGCCATGGATGGAAGTCGGTGGACGAGTGGGTAACACCCTCGATTCCCGACAGCCATGAACCGGGATTGAATCCCGTATTGGACACTTTGTTTTAATATATGAATAACCTTCACTTATATTATTCATTTTGAAAATAGAGAAATCTCCATATTTAAATCATTAGATATTAAAAATTGTTCGTTTTTGTGGGTGTTTAAATGGGAAGATAGGGATCACGTCAATTATATAATCATTAAAATATTTATTAGCATATAAAATTAAAAGAAAGGATATATAAGAGCCACGTAAAGTATCTGTTCTTGCCTGTTCTTCTGTTTACCTTTTTTTTTCTCCAGTTGTTTTTCTTCTTTCATAGAATATTATTTATAATTGTAAATTTTAATCATACTTAAAATTTAAAAACAATAAGGAATATTTTTAAATATTAAATAAAAATGTTACACAAAATTATAGGCAACATATTTGCAACAAAAATGCATATATTTGATTGAAAATATTTTATTCAATCCAATATATGCCTTTTTATTAGCTAATATTATTCATTGCAAATATCATAAGTTTTTCTTTTTGAGCGGTACCTAGTAAAGTTATTTTGGAACTAGGAAGACCATGGTTTCATGCTATGGCCCATGTCAGTTCAGTACGGACTTTGAATTCAAGAGATACTCCAAGAAAACAAGAAATCATCCGAATTGGCCAAAGAAGAGTTATTCTGCTAATTTTGGCTAGGCAAATTCCGTGACTGAGATCAGATACAAAATTTCATTGAAGAAAGCTGATCTTAATAAAGAAAAACAATCCTATTTTCCCTTTAAATAAACTAAAAAAACTATGGACATCTATTACCTCTCTCTCTGTATTATTCAAGACTCGTTGAGTGACCAAACCAAGATTTCCCAGAGCCTTTGATCAGAAGGAGCGCCACATGAAGGCTGTAAAGTGGCAAATAACTTTAATGCTACCGAAATAACAATCTGAAACTCCCTATTACACTCATGGACAAAACTTAAGTAAGTTATATCTTTTAGCATGTATATCGGGATTCAGACAATAACTCTAAAAGTTATTACAGTGACATTTATTGTAGATACACGAGATAACCAAGGTGTGAACAAAATTGATTCTGTCGCCTTAAAAAAAAAGCAACCAGCGACTTCAAAGACTTTCAACTTTTTTTAAGTTTTATTCATGAGTGTATATTATTTTCAATTTGTTGAATAGATACTATTGAAATATTGGTTATAAGATTTGGAAGAGAATGGGTAGAGAGTGGGAGATAGAGCATATGTAGAATGGGAGCACACAAGAAATCTTGCCTCAGTTACATAGCAACAACCCTCGGGACTGCCATAGACATAGCCACAACACCCACTTCAACAAATGTTTAATCCCCATCATAGTTGTTCCATATGCTTTGAAATTTGAAGCATTTTAAAATTTGTATTATCCCTAGTATACGTTGTATAGGCCATGATAATCATGATGAGTAGAAGTTAGCGACTGCTTTTACCGTAAGTACACTACATGTATACACATGTGAAAAGCGCGCGGTTATACTTTTGCACTTACAAGTGTGCTAGAATCCTGTTTGGTTACTTGAACTCACTGGTGAGATTAGACTTCTGAAAAAATTTAATTTTTTAATTAGAAAAAAAAAAGTTCAATACGGGATTCGATCCCGAGTCGTAGGGTCGAAAACCAACGGTTTAGACTACTTGTCAACCTACCCCTGAATCATATAATTCTTTTTTAAAAAATATCTTCACTTGTCAAAATTTCCACCTGTATCCATACATGTGGTTTTCAAACAGTAACCCAAATCGTATAATATCTTGTGTTTATATTGTCAAGAAGCTCAGCGGCTCCAATCACGAGAGGCCCCATGGGACGTCTGTCAATCATCGCTGGACACCGGGTGTGAGGGGTTCTGGGGAATCTGGCCAGCGGGGGGAGCTGACGTCCCTCATTAGGATTAACTTTAACTTGGGGTAAGTTGTACTTTATCCATCTCCCTATAAATACCCCTTATAATAAATTAATTATCCCCAAACTTGCCCTTGCTTTATTTATCTCCGCGACAATATCCATAAAATAGTCTGCTAATGTCGTATTCAATCAATGCTATAAGTGAGTTATAATTCCGTCTTATTCCGGTGGTGGTTTAGACGGTGGGTTTACTTATTCATTGTACGTAATGTATAAATATTTGAATACCATCCCGACACGCCACCTCGTGAGGGAATATCGACGTCGACAGCTGCGCCCCTGGTGGCGGCTACTTGAACTACACTCTCTGGGTGGGGTATAACTATATATATTATAATTTAAGATATGGTTTTACGGGCTACTAATCAAAGTGTATTATTTTTGAGCCCAGAAAAAAACTCCCCGGAGGGGAATCGAACTCCGGTCGCCCGCGTGACAGGCGGGAATACTAACCACTATACTACAGAGGAAAAAAAAAACTTCCCACGCCGGGAATCGAACCCGGGCCTTCTGGGTGAAAGTTAGATATCCTAGCCACTACACCACATGGAAGATATAATTTAAGAAAAAGGCATCTCTCTTTATATATCGTGCTACTTGATAGTTGCTGATGGTTACGCCATCTGTCGGAATAAATATCAACTATTCGTTGATTTTTTTTTTGTAATTATCCCAGAATTGGCAAAATACCTATTCTTGATTAATCAAGAAAAGCTATAACCACGTACGTGTTACGGGCTGTTGGCCCTCGTCAGCGTGGTGCAAGCTGTACCTCAACGACCAGAAAAAAAAATCTAGTCATTCAGGCATCCTGAAAAATCATGAAACGGGTAGTTAAGGTCAGAATTGCGTGAAAACGCGAAACAATGTGCAAAAAAAAAAAGTACAAATAAGAAATTCTACTGGGATAAGGTGGATATATTAAGAAAAGGGCATCTCCTTATCGTGAAACTGAGGGTTGCTGATGGCTTGCGCCATCTATCGGAATAAATATCAATATATAATATATATGATAGGTATACCAAAATAGATATTTCTCTCTTTCAAAATGCAATGAAAACATCGAGTGAATAACAAAACCACGATACCAGCTTTGGTAGTTTCTGAACATCTATGGTCCAACCTATGGCTCCAATGAGTTGTATTAATACCTGTGTTTGTCTCATATAAAATTTAAAATCGTTAAAATTGGAAGACTTCACTAAGTCATCACTGTTACTTTTTACCAAAAGATTCTGAGACTCTCCCTCCCTCTTGAGGAAACCCGGATTCCTGAAGGATTCTGAGAAACTATTAAATCTAATTTAAAGAATAGAGGGCAATATTGTTGCACCAGGTTGCAGCTTGGCAGACTCTTCAATCTTGATTCTCTCCTGTGCCGGGTCTTGTATCTTACCAGAACGTGTCTCAACCATCCTACAAGGTTAGATAAGGAAATAATGAGATAACTCTACTTTAAGTAGCCTCCAGAATTATTTATTTATTTCTCACAAAGAGTACAGTCAAGTCACATAGTGTACCAAAATACAAATGGTGATTTTATAATACATAAATCTGTTTATAATATATATATATTCTGTTTAATAAAATAAATAAATCTAAAATATAAATTTGAATTTAAAATATATGAAAAATAATATTACAAATTAGAATAAAATAGGTGCATTAGCCATGATGCAACAATAAAAAAAAAACTTTCATTTGGAAGCAATAGCTTAGATGAAGCAAACATGTATGATCTATCAATATATATTCTAACTAAATTCACAGCAATCTTATCAGCAAACCAAGGTATAAACACACTAGACTGACCATTCACTTAAACCATTGGGTCGCTAGGAACTATGAAAGAAACGAATTTGTGTGTAAAGATAATTTCGATGAAATGATAGAAATAAAATTAAATGGGAGCTCATATAACTGAAACATATTGTAAATAAATAAAAAAACCTAAAAATTAGAGAAAGAAAACAAACATTAAACATATACACTCATAGACAAAACTTAAGGAAGTTGTACCTTTTACCATTTATATCGGGATTAAGACAATAACTCTGAAAGGTATTACAGTGACCTTTATTGAAGACACATGAGATAACCAATTGTGAACAAAATTTCCTCTGTCTCCTTAAAAAAAAAAAAGGCGTCCGGCGCGATATCAAAGACTTTTAATTCCTTAAGTCTTATCCGTGAGTGTATAATAACTTGATTAAGCATTCATGGCCTTGAATACTCTTTTTGTAAAATAAAAAGATTCGATGGAGCTCCCCGGGGTGGAGGGGGAAAAGAAAGAGTCGGTGGACGAGTGGGTAACACCCTCGATTCCCGACAGCCATGAACCGGGATCGAATCCCGCGTTGAATCTTTTGTTTTACTATGTGAATAACCCTCACATATTATTAATTGTTGTAAATATTATAATCTAGGTTGCTATTTTTTTGAGCGGTACCTAATAAAGTGATTTTGGAACAAGAACAGGGGGGGGGGGGGGGGGGCCTTCAACGCACAACCTGCAACACGCTTATGAGGACCAACAGCCCGAAACGCGTACGCGATGGGTTTTATTGATATTTCAATGAAAATATATATAAGGGCCAACTTTGAAAAAAAAAATCAAAAGATAATTATATTTTTCGATAGATGGCAACATTCAGTTACATGATCAGGAAATTGTCCTTCTATTAGATTAAAGACATTTAGTAAAGTGGGATTGTATAGGAATTCCTTCATGGCCAGGTAATGTTGTTTTGTGAAGCTTTCCTCCACAACTTACAATACCTCGACCGCGCCCGAGACCTTCTGGAAAGGTCACTTGACGTCACTTTACATTCCCTTGAAGTTCCATCCAATCGACTCATATATTTGTGCCGACTAGAAATTCTTCGGCGTACAGCGTTTTTTTTTTTTTTAAACATCCTTTGAAAACAATCCTTCCTTTTATAACAAAGGAATCTCTCCTTAACGTGGAAAAAGAAAAATACAGCCATCTAGCGGAAGATATATCAACTAAATATTAATTTCTTAAAGTGAATTGTATCTTTAGGGGATAATAATAATATCAGTTTATTCACGATCGAACGTTGTGGCCCACTGTATGTATTACATCCTAAACACGATGTCAGCCATCTCTGTCTTGAGCTCGATGTACAATCTCGGCGACCGTTAAGCCAGTGAGTTCCTTTAATTGGTCCACGAAGCGTGTTGGCGAGCGTCCAGGTATGCGTCGCCCAGACTTCTTTCCGGTCAGTATGGCGTACTATCTAAGATAATATCTTAGATTTTTCCCATGACTGTATGTATATTGATAGTATTTTGACTGAGCTAAATTTCTCTTCTGTATGTATATTGAGCCAAGGGAAAATATTCCGATTGATTCTTCTGAACAATACATCACGTAATTTCACGTAATCATTCTAAAATGGAAAATACTGTTTATATCGTCTGCTATTTTATATCGAATATTTGAGAAAGTATTTCATTTCTAACATAAATTGATATAACAGGAATTCGAAACAGACTGTTTCTAAAAGAAATAATAAAGAATTTATTTCAATCTTTTTCTTTTTTTATATTCTCTCCAATTTTTCGAATAAATAACACAAATTTATATATACTTTGTAAATATTTATTTTACACACAATCGCGAAAATGAAAAATATTTTGTCTTCTCTTCATTTATATATATATTTTCACTTCTATTTCTAATTAGGTAGGTTGCGCGTAGTCAAATTTAAATTTTCAAAAATAATAATTTCAAGTATTTTTTTTTTTGAACGAATATTTCCAGTAGAATAGCGAAGTAAATTGGTAGAATAAAAGGATTTAATTTTCCTTTCAATCTAAATAAACAGCTAAAGTGGATTGTGAAAATAATTAAAATCATGTGTTTCTATATTTTATTATATTTTATATATAACAAAATATTTATTATTTATTCACAGAATATTAGTTTTACTCTAGATTATATCAACCACTTTTCCATCGTTATTTCTTTATTCTTTTATTTAAATAAGCTTTGATTGTTTTATTAAAGTGAAATTGCCTTTTTAAATATTTTCCTCAAAAAGATGTGAAACGCCTATATTTTAATTTGAAAAATTAATATACATTATGGCTTGAAACTGCTTTTCTTTTAGATCTATTTAAGAACACTAGAATTTCTATATATTGTAAGGTAATTAAATGGACAAATTAAATTTTACGATAAGATAAAATATTATATTTATGAATCTAAAGATCAAAATCTGAAAGAAAGGCTAGTCACATTAATTTTGTTGTAAGATTTAAGTACTTACAGCTTGTAGGAAGGCATGAGGACGTTGAGGATTATATGATAATAATCTTTATTATCCATTTAGCAAGAAAAGACAAAGTTATGGTAGCGAACAGTTATTATAGTATAGAGAAGAAGGTAAACAAACAGTTGTGATGATGATAGGTCCAGTGTGGCGCTAGCTGTCGTAGCATTCAGTTATCCAACAAATCCCCGGCATGAATGTGGAGACATCACGAGGTTGTAGCGTAACTTCTCAAATGTCGGCCTTGGTAGCGGCTTGGTCAGGATATCCGCCTTCATGTCGCCTGTCGGGCAGTAGATCATTTTTATCACTGTCTTCTTCTGAAGATCCTTCAGGTGATGGATCTTGGTTGCGATGTGCTTGGTTCTAGAAGACACTTTTTCGGATGAACATATCTTGAGACATGATTGATTGTCTTGGTGGAAGTAGATTGGAGCTTTCTGTTCCAGTTCGAGATCCTTTAGCAAGTCGAGAAGCCATAACAGTTCTTGTGAGGCTTCGGCTGCGGAGATTAGTTCCGCTTCGGTGGATGAGAGAGATACGCAACCTTGTTTCCCAGTCATCCATGAGATGGGGTTTGATCCCAGTAGGAACAAGTTTCCGCTTAGTGATTTTCTGTCGGTGTTGTCGCTTGCCCATGTGGCATCACTGTATGCTTCCAGTGTGGGAGGTTTTTGGTTAGATATGCGTAGCTCGAGTTCTTTAGTAGTTTTTAGATATCTTACGATTCTTTTTGCTGCATTCCAGTCACAATTTCTAGGATTCTGGTTTCTGCTGCTAAGTATGCAGACTGGAGCTGCGATATCTGGTCTGGATACTACGCTTAGGTACAATAGTGAGCCTATCAGTTGTAGGTATTGGACGTTGTTTGGTAGAAGTTTTTCATCAGATATACCGGGGTATCCGCTTTCCATGGGAGTGAAAGTAGGTTTCGCTTCTTGAAGATTGTACCTTTCAACTAATTCTTGGATTTTATTCTTTTGGCTCAGAAGGAGTTCACCTTCTCTGTTCCTTGAGATTTCTATACCAATGAATTGAGTGGGGTCTCCAAGGTTCTTTATTTCGAATTCTTTTTCGAGAGTTTTTACAGTGTTTTGGATGATTATTTCGGAATCGCTTGCAAGGAGCATGTCATCCACATATAGAATCAAGTAGATGGAATGGTTTTCTTCATTCTTGGTGAATAGGCATGGGTCTACAATGCTCTGTTTGAAGTTATTTTTAATTAGAGTGCTTGCAATTTTTGTGTTCCAA